GATAATGAGTAAAGATAAGCCAATGGGAAGAACATGTCTACAGGGCAACTGGCAGCAGTCCCACAGCCATTAGTGTGTGGTATCTGGTGAAACTGCTGGAATCAGCTTGCATTCTGACTTCATGACAGAGCAAAAAAGAAAGAGGAAAAGAAGTTGCTGGAACTGGAGGATGCGAGCGAGACACTATTTTTGAGTTTTAATTATGCTTTCAAGTAATTTGTTCTTTCCTGAAGGATGTAGTCTTTGACGAAGCTCATGCTGTGTAAAGTTTTAGTTAACACTTAATAAGAAACAATAAGAAAAAACAATAGAGAGTTCCAGCTTTCTGTAGAAGATGAAGAGGGAGAAGTTTTCTGCAGAGCACAGCACAAGCTCTAGCTTCAGAGGAGTACGTGATAAGCATTTGTGGGCCCGATTGCGGTGCAGGAGCAGAGCTGGGGATATTCCATTTTGTATTACTGTACTGGGAGTAGAAATGCTAATCACAGCCAGATGTTGGTGATCAGCCAAGGAGCTAAGTCCATGGGTGTAATATGCATCGGGTGATGATTATGCGCCCATGAAGAGTGAGATAAGGCAAAGGTGTTGGAAGCGTTTCTTAGGCGCTCTTCTTTTTAGCACCCCTTTTAGCCACATTTAAAGCATTGACTTATCATGTGTGGTTTTAAGATCTGCCATAGAATAAGCAAATGCATAGCATTTTTCTGGGCTTCTCTCAATACCTGTGTCTCAATGATGATGTTTCAGGAAAAAAAAAAAAAAAAAAAAAAAACAGGTGAAAGTGTTTGCAGTAGGATTTTTTGAGCTCAGTAGAATATTCATGAGCTGGGTTGTAAGTCTAAGTTATAGAAACATGTTAAATGGTATTTGCTAAACCTATAACTCATTTGAGAAAATGTATTGATCCTTTATGGGGCCTGTCCCTCATTTTTAAGATCTAGATCAACAAATAAAGCATAAGTGATCCCTGTAAGCAGTTTTTAAAACAGCTTTTATCCACCAACAGTTAAAACAGTTTTATCCACCAACACTGTACCTAAGAATATTTGTTTCTACTTATATACTCCCCAGTACCACATTATTCTCCTATGAACCAATTATCTCTCCTTCTCTCTTCTCCTTCCTCCTTTTTTCCTTCCTTCTTTCCAACATGCCCACTGGGGTGTCACCTATGGAGCTTGGCAAGGCTAAGAAGGGAGCACGTTTTAGACAGGAAATCAAGAGTTCAAGAATAGACAAAGACATTTCATTTTTGAAATGTTTACAGATCTTCAAATGAACATGTCAAGGTGCAGGGATATGTGAGACAGGAGTTCAGAAGAAGGGATTAAGCTATAGATATAAATTTGAAAGTCAACAGTGAATTAATATGCTTGTATCCGTGAGATTTAATAAAATCAGTTGAGTGAATGCAAGTAAAGAAGAGAAATAGCTAAGGACAAAATTCAGGGAACATTTAAAGGTCAGGAAGAGAAAGAGGAAAATAATATTTAAATGTGTTAGTACAATTTTAAAGAGTTGCTTATCCTCGTTGACATTTTATGTATTTTGGAATTGGCATGGAGTGTGGTTTTCTCTTTCCAGAACTTCTAAAAATCTGCTGTCTAAAGTCTAGATAAGTGTCTGATTGAAGTTGCTTAGCCCGATGTTATAAAAGTGGTCCTATTAGTGTGAGTTGAGAACCTGTTTTTAGATAACAAGTCTTCCCAAGGCTGGGCCAATTATAGTACATTGTCCAGTATCCGAAGTACAAAGAACTCAGTGTGTGTAGGGGACGGGACAATGTAAAAAGCAGTTTGGGAGTGAGACAGGGGAGTCTGGGGCTGAAAGTCTTGCAAAAGTGAAAATGTAAGATAAGTAAGAGGGGAGATAAAGGTAACCCCCATAAAGTCAGGAAAAGAAAACCCCCATAAAGTCAGCTTTGTCATATGAGACAAAGTTGGAGGTTGAAGCCTTCTCAAGAACCAGTCTGAATACTTTCTGAAATGTTCCTTTTAAACAGTGGGCAGGAGAGCCAATACCATGTAAGACAGAATCTACCATCACCTTTGTTGATATTCCTGATTCAAAGTGCAGCCATTTTCCCTCAAATGTTCTCACTTTCAATTCTGTTAGTAGATTTACGTCTCCTGCTTCCTTCTAAGAGACAGACTGAAACTCAGATTTAATTAGCATGATCTAATGTCACTGTCCACCAGATGTGACGTTGGTCAACTGCATCACGTATCAGCATTTTGGGGATTATATTGTCATCTCAAAAAAAGCACAAGTTCATATAAATAGCTTATACTGCCAGGGTTTACAAACCATGTGTAAATTTCCCAAATCCTTTTGTGTACAACATTTACTTAATAGTTTGTCTCATCTGGAATATTTGAAAACAGTCCTGCATGATTTAGATGTGATGTCAGGGGAAGTCTTCACAGTTAATTTTCTTCTCCCATGCACAGAAAGACACATCTGACATAATATAACAAATCACACTGCCAAGGTAAGAGTAAATAACAAGCTATAAACAAATAAGAAAGCAAGTCATCAAATGCAAGAGCTTTAGAAACGTGGCCAAGCGGTGTTATTGTGAAGAGGCCCGAGGATGGCATTAAATGATTAGACAGTGAGTCTTTGGCCATCATGTGTGGATGATTGTCTCCTCTGAGACCCCTTTTCTGGGTACTTTGGGTCTGTAAGGTAGATTGGGCTCACTGCTCAGCATAGCAGAATCATCTTTTGGATAAATGATCACTTAAATTAACATTATACTCCCTTATGATTCAAATCAAAGGTATACTCCCAAGAAAGGGGCAACTTCTAAAATTTCTCACAAGACAGTCTTTCCTCTTTTATTTTCTTCAGAGAATCAGAGTACTGGCAGGCAGTCAGCTTTCCTGGGCCATTGCTGACTATGAATGCAGTGTGGCTGGATAAGAGCTGGTCCGCTGGCCTCTTTGGGCAGTGCATCCTGATACTTAGTAAATCAGTGGCACTCTGCAGAGATTCCATTCTTGTAGACCTTGCATCCTATGGCCTTTCACCGCTACCCCAAGCCCACTTCTTATTCACGGGTTCTCTCAGCTCCTGTGTGCATGCTTTGAGGATTCAGGGAGGAGAAACCCTCAGCAGCCCCCAGAACAGTGTGGGGTGCTCTCTGCGGGCTCTTCTCTGGCAGAACAGCAGGTCACTTTCCTCAGCTCCTTTTGGTCGTCTGGCTATAAGGCCAGTTTTCTACCCAGAAAGTAAAACACCAGCCCCCTCTGCTTTTAACATTCCTTTCAAGTGCTGGAGGTTTCTGTCTTCTGCTTCTTCCTTTTCTCTCAAAAACGTGGCTTCTGTTCCCACCACGGCTACTGAGACCACCCTTCCCAAGGCCACAAGTAGCCTTCTAACTGCTCAAGCGTTTGAGTATTTTTAGTATTTTCCCACTGGAACTCTCTGCTTCATTTAGTGCTCGGGTCCCATTATTTTCTACTCACTCTTTTCCTGGCTCCACGTAGGACTTTTTGCCTGTTTTCCTACATTGTTTTTTCTTCAGAGCTGGCATTTATGGGAATTCTGTCCTTGAATTGTTTTTAGTCTCATTATTTCCAAGTCCAGGAAAAACAAATATTTTCCCTGGTTCAGTGCTTTCATTCTCATGTCAAAGCACTTGCTTTCTGTTGCTGCTGAAAAAAAATTTAAATATCCAGATTAGAACTTTCCTCTGGGCTTTAGACTCCACTTTTTCAACCATTTCCTGGGTACTTCAGGCTCCTTAGCATACAACATGTACAAACTGAACTCATGGTTCTTCCCTTGATGTATTTCTTTTTGTTTTGTTTTGTTTTTCTTCTGGTACCAGGAACCGAACTCACGACCTTGCGCTTGCCAGGCAGGAGCTTTGCCACTGAGCTAAATCCTCAGCCCCCCTTGATGTATTTCAGTCTCTGTCCAGCCACTAAGAACCTGGAACACATCTTTAGTTCCTTTAACGCTTTTATCTGCTGTGTTGAAAGAGTCATGAAAGCCTGTGAGTTTCTTCCTCACTTATATCATCTATCAATGGTAAACATCCCTCAGTCTGTCTGTCCGTTTATTTACCTATCATCTCTCAGTCATCCATTGTTGCTGGTCTATTGTAAAAATTTGTCTTTAAAATACATTATAGTGAAATAGTTAAATGTAAATACAAACACACATTTAGGAATAGGGTAAATATTTTCTAGAAAGGGAAAACTAAAAATAAATATATATGTTGTGAGAACCCAAGTTGTTAATTATGGTTGTTATAATTAAGACTCAAATTTAGTGGTAAAATTTAACCAGCTAAAGTAAAAATAAGACTAAGTCCTTTACTTAAGTCTTTTATAAAAGAGAACAAGAGTATTTTAATAATTTAAACTGTAAGCTCTGACTAGCTAAAGCTTTGTATTTACAAAGCTTTGCTTATCTTTCTCTTTAACTCACAGATCTCCATAAATTGGCTCTTTTAACCGGGTCTTTAATTGGCTCTTTAAATTGGCTTTGAGCATTTCATGCTATGAAACCTATTTTTGTAAAAGGAAGATCCTCCTGAAGCTTTTTCCAGCCTGACAGTTTAACATTAGAATCTGTGCTCTCGGTGGCGGATCCTAGTCTTCCTGTTGTCTTACAGTTATATTTCCCAGTGGTATTTCTTATTTTTAAAGGTTGGGTTTCTCTGAAACTTAGTATCTTAAAAACATTAACTGGATTTTAAGCAGACTTTGAACTTCAGTTTGGGTCTAAGCTGTATTCTCTTCTGAACTCAGACATGCTTGGACAAGTTCATGGGCCCACTGGGACTGGCTCACCAGGGCCCTATTTCTTAAGATAATGGAGGACGCTTTAAAAAGAACTGTGCTGTGTCAACACCACTGGTGGGGGTGAGAGCACCAATTATGGTTATTTGTGAATGAAACAATGCCTTGACTGTGATGCTTCTTAGTCTACGTGGAGACAGGAGAAGAAGGATGTGGTAGCGTCTCCTGGCACACAGTATTTTGTAGCAGCTGCGTCATCTCCATCTTTGGCAACAGAGTTGGCAGTTGTGTGCATCTACAGAGGCTTCTAAATAGCAAGAGTGGTAAAAGAAAAAAAGAACCCTCAGGCTGGGGTGCCAGACAGACCTACATTAGAATCCTGTGCTAGTCCTTCTTGCTGAATGGCCTTGAGTAACCTCTTTTATCTCTCTGAGCTTCATTTGATCAAAGTATTAAAAAGAAGACATGTGGAGTATATGAAGCACTCAATAAACAGCAGTTCAAACATAGTATAGAAATAATGAACAAGGGAGGGGAAGATAACATGCCATATAGGAGGTGGGAGGGTGATTTTGAGAGCTCAGGTCAGATACCATTTGGGGCTTTATCAATTTAGGAGAAAAGGTTTGAGAGCGTTGGAATTCTTGACCTATCTGATACACGCAGAACTGAAGAGACCTGTGCCATCTCATTTTCTATCATAGGAATTGTGACCTGACCCAGGGGAACATTAGTTTTTTAAGCAATAGTATGAAATTTTTTTGCATGTACTTTCTTCTACCTCCAGATTTATTAGAGTAGTGTATTATAATCTAGTCTTTCATGTGAGGTTAGAAACTGTTTCTGAGCTCAGACTGTAAGTACTATACAACCATATTTGAGGTTCTGGAATATTTTACAAAGTTGCCCACTCCCTTTTTACTTGAAATGTCTCTTTCTGAGCTTCTGTAAACCCAGCTTCTCCTAACTTTTCTCCTACCATTCAGATTCTTTCCTTCTTGGTTTTCATCTTGGAAACTGAGTTTTTGTCTCCATGGGGTTTCCTCCCTCTTTGAATCTGTTTATCTATCTATCTATCTATCTATCTATCTATCTATCTATCTACCATCAATCATTTATTTATCTTGAGATTATATTAGTTCTTTGGTCTTCTAAATTGTAAAGTGATCTCTAGTATAACCAAAATGGATTAAGTCATGACCTTAACTCTGGTTCTAGAAACTTCTCCTGTGTTGCTTGACCTGTACACCTCATATAGAGAAGGCTTAAAACAGTACTGGTACAATTGAACTAACATTCCAAGGTAGAAACAGTCATAAAAATGAAAGGGGTAGTTTCACACTGGCGTCCTCTTGGCCTTAGGTATCTTCCTACCCAAGGTCTAAGTAGAGTCATTTAAATGGGAAGAAGAGACCCCACAGAGCTGTGTCATGATTTCTACCACTTGTTAGTCACATAGCCTTGGGAAATTTACTTAACTTTGAAGAGGCTTCATTTCTGCATCTTTAAGATAGGAATAGTGGGGGCTGGGGATTTAGCCCAGTGGCATAGCGCCTGCCTGGCAAGTACAATATCATGAGTTCGATTCCTGGTACCGGGAAAAAAAAAAAAAAGACAGGAATAGTGTTTGTACTTTTAACAACTTCTTGTTTCTTAGCTGAATGTGTTATTCTAGGATGTACCTATGTTCTTTAAATAGATTTCATAGATTTTCTTATTGGAATATTTTATTTGAAAGAAGAGAAGACTTTCTTACACAATTATGATGATGTTGAGTGGTATCTTCCCTTAGCAATATTTCATTTTAAATTTCCTCTTCCCTACTGGTTTAATCCAGCTTGCTGGAGCCTGTATTGTATTGTATTGTTACCTTGGTAACCTAGCCTTTACATCATTGGTTAGAATGCCCCAAGGTTGTCCATTATATTCCAGCATCCTCTTATCCTCACAAAAAGTGTCCAACATACTAGAATTATTTTTTAACTCTTACTAGTCTGTTGCCCATATTTTAAAATTTGATGTCAATTCTTGTACTTGAATTGTTTTGTAAGATTTTTTTTGGTGTGGAAGCAGAAAATTTTCCCATTTTGTTTTGAATGCTAAGTTTTTGGGATCTCTAGATTTTATGACCCAGAAGTGTATTTGTTGTTGACAAAAGAAATAATCCAAAGATTTCCCCCCTTTCTTCCAGCATGCATTCTGCGGCAGTTCAAGGTGAACGTGTCCATTGTCTCTCTGGAATTGCCACTGTACTCAAATAATGAAATAAGTTGAAAACAAGTTGAAACCTGTTATTTCCAGTTGATGCAGTCAGTTTTCCCTTTTCTTACTACTCTGCCTCCTTTGGGAATCTGGACTGCTTGACCTCAGTAAGAGGATGGTGATAGCTTTTCTCACTCTCAATATTGGCCTTCCTGATGTTATTATTAAATCACTTTGTTTCCTCTTTCTCTAAGCGCAACAAAGTGGGATGATCAGGTATAAATGATCTGTCTTATTGCCCTTGAAAAACTATTCTTATTCTTTATTTTTGTTTTATAAAAAACTGAATATAGATATACAAAATATAATAACAAGTTAAAAATAATGTTTCACTGGGACATATCTCTGAATCATTTAAAAATATTTGTTATGTATATTCCTCTTCCCTGTGAATATAACCTCTTCAGTGCTTTTTTCTTAGCCACTTTTCTCTTTCCAAATGAACATGTAAATGAAACTACACACTTAATTTCCCCAAATAGATCTTTTTATTTTACCAGCTAGTTACCTTAAATAGATATCAAAGTAAGGGGTAAAACTGTTCCTTGGGGAGATTAAGAAGTGTGGTATTTATTACCAGATTCTTTCTTTTGGAAAACTTAGTACATGAAGAACATATGATATAAGGCATGCACATGGCTAAGTATCCAGTTATCCTTGAAGTCTTCTGTATTATCTGGCCCTGTAGTTCAGAGAACAGTTCGTGTGCTATCAGGAAGGAAGCATTCCTCTTCCAGACAACACATCTCTATTATTCCAGCTGGGCTGTGTAAATACACCATGCACATCTGTGGGCCTCCAGGTCCTTATCTACAAAATGAGCATAAGCTAGTAACACAGTTCCTACCTACTTAAAGTGTTATTATGAAGATTTTATGAAAATATGGAAAAGTATGTTAGCCTCAAGAAGAATACAGAAAGAAATAAGAAATGTTGGCCATATGCCAGATGATATAATGAAGAGTTAAAGTTCACATAAGAGTCACTATATCACATTTATAATTTTTTTTTTTTTTTTTTTTTTGTAGTACAAAGAGGAGCTGACTATGTTTCGGAACTGACTTGCATGTTTTCCACTGTCAACATCTCAACGCTCCTCAAGTTTTGAGAAGATTTTTTGCATATATGTGAAATGTAAGGCACTTGGTTATGTTCTCTTTGTCTTACCATTTTCTACCATTTGAGGAGCAAATTCCTTTTCTGTGTTATATGTTCACTTTTTTTTTTCAGTAGTGGGAATTGAACTTAGGACCTGTGTACTGAGCTATACCCCAGTCCTTTTTATTTTTTATTTTGAGACAGGGTCTCTGGGCTCAAACTTGTGATCTTCTTGCATCAGCCTCCCAGAGTGTTGGGATTATAGGTGTTTACCATCATTCATGGCTACGTGTTGCAACTCCTTTAACAATGCAGATCACTTTGGTTCAGCCCCTTCCTCCATGCTCAGAGGCATTCAAATGATATGGTACTGTGTCATGGACATTGCCTTTGGCACTGAAAGACTCAGGAGCAAGGGAGAACCCACACAGTGTGTCCAGTAGTTGTTCTTGGCCAGGGGCTTGGGAAGGGTCTACTGTAGCCCTGTCCCCAGTGCTCCAGGGTCTGGTATGAACATCACCCTACTGCAGAGTATATTGCCTTAATCTTTGCTGCTGGGAAAGGTGAACCAGAGTTGGCTTACATATTGCCCTATCTAGTTTGGCTTAATTGGCTGGACTTGAGAAGGAGCACTCCTGACCTGCTACACCACTCACTATGCCTGGTACATTCCAAGATTAGAGGTTTCAAAAGGAAATATCTTCATTTTAAATAACTCAACAAGATAGAATGTGTGTGTGTGTGTGTGTGTGTGTGTGTGTGTGTGTGTGTGTGTGTGTTTGCAGTGCTGGGGATTGAACCCAAGGGCCTTCACACTGAGATACATCCCAACTGCAATGCCCAGGCTAGGTTCCAACTTGGAATTCTGTCTTAGTCTCCCAGAGTGCAGGGATTACAGGCATGTGCCACCTCACCAAGCTTGCATGTGCTTTATTTTGTTTTCCTTCACAATTTTATGCATTTAACATACAATTTTCCTACTCATATCTAACTTTATGCACTTCTTAATTTTTTAATTAGATTTTTTATTCTTTATTTTATTCTCTTTTTCTTTTCAATTTTCTTCCTTTTTCTCTTCCTGCTGTTATATTTTTATTAATTTTACTTTCATTAATATTTGTATTCTCTCTGCTCCTTTTTTCTCTATAGTTATGAGTGTTATAGATTTTTTTAAAAAGTGTATTTTTACTGTCTCCCTATATCTGGTTGTTTCTAAGTTGCTATTGCTATGGTTGGCTGTTTTCTCTTCTCAAAGTAGCTACAGATTGAACCTAGTACTTTGAACATGGAAAGAAGACACTCCCAACAGATACACAAATTTTAACATAAAAGCACAGGCATTCTTCACAAAGCTAGGAAAAAAATCCTAAAATTTAAGTAGAAGCACAACATACCCCAAATAGCCGAAGCAGTCATGAACAAAAAGAACGATGCAGAAAGCATCACAATACTGGATTTAAAAATATACTGCACAGCCACTGTAACAAAAATAGCACGGTACTGGCATAAAAAGAGACATTGGACATCCACTAGTAGAAGATGGAAACCAGATCTTTGTATCCTACACTATTTCCTACACTCACGATGAATCAATGTACCCTACACTCAAAATGGTTCAAAAATATAAGACCTGAAACTTTAAAAGTACTAGAGGGACACATAGGGGAAACACTTCCAGATATTGGTGCTGGCAAGGATTTCTGCAACAGGATTCCTGTAACTTAGGAAATAATAGCAGGAATTGACAAATGGGACTGCATGAAGTTAAAAAACTACTACTGCACAGCAAAGGAAGCAAACAACAGAGTGAAGAGACAGCCTACAGAATTAGAGAAGATCTTTGCCAGATCTAGATATTTATGTCACAGTGAGATAATATCCAGAATATATAAAATTAAAAATTTTTTAGCATTGGTAGAACAAGCAACCCAATCAATAAATAAGCAAATGAGTGGAACACTTTTTGAAAGAAGTTCAAGTCACCAATAAATATATGAAAATGTTCTCAACATTCTAAGCCATCAGGGAAATGCAAATAAAAACTACATTGAGATTCTGTCTCATTCCAGACAGAATGGCTACTATCAAACCAAGAAGAAACAAGTGCCAGTGAAGATGCAGAGAAAAATGCACCCTTACAAACTGTTGGTGGGAATATAAAGTAGTGCAGCCACTACAGAAAACAGTATGGAGATTTCTCAAAGAACTAAGAATAGAATTACCATATGATCTGGCTGTACTATGCTTTTTTTTTTTTTTAGTACTGGGAATTGAACTCCTGACCTTGTGCTTGCCAGGCAGGCATTGTGTTGCTGAGCTTTATCCCCGGCTCCTGTACTGGTCTTATATATATGCCCAAAGGAAACAAAATCAGTATACCTTAGAGGTGTCTGCATGCCTGTGTATATTGTGGCACTATTCACATGGAATCAGCCTAGATCTCCATCAGGGGACAAATGATAAAGAAAATATAGTATCCATACAGAATGGAGTATTAGGCAGCCACAAAGAACAAAATCATGTCACTTAACATGATGGCCTGAATTACCATCTGTTTTACTGGTTGGTAATTCAGGCCATCATGTTAAGTGAAACAAGTTGGACTCAGAAAGACAAGGATCATGTTTTCTCCCATACATGGAATTTTAACATGGTGACATGAAAGTGGAAGGGGTTTTATTGCAGAAGGAGAAAAAGACTCGGGTAGGGAGAGGGAGAATGAGAGGAGAGAAGAGAGGGTGCATCCGATCAAAGCACATTACACATATGTATGGAGATGCCACAGTGAAACATGTTATTTTATACAACTTATGTGTGTTAATAACTATAATAAAAAGAAATAGTGTGAGGAAAAGGCAAAGTGAAATAATACCCAAGAATGGTTATAATTAGTTTCTAAAAGGGAACAGAGAGATGGCTTTTATTTATGGCCAAGGCTAGCTAATATCTAGGAAGGTTTTCTCTATCTGAAACTATTCTTATACAAAAGGCTATATTCCAAAGCATGTCTGAGTGATTGTCCAGGAAGTCATTGAAAGATATCATGGAAATGGTCAGGGGTACATATTCTTATTTAAATGCAAGGTCTGCACATGCTTGCTATGAAGCATCTTCAATCTCACAATCATAACTCTGTTCCAGTGAACAAATACAAATGAAAAGTATGCTTTTGAGGCACACGAAAAACTTTGATATACTGGTCAAGGAGCTTAATCCCTCAAATAGATCTTTTAAGTGTGAGACTAATTCTTTTCAACTCTTTAGTGCTCATCCTGCTATCTTTTAAACATTTATAATATTATAATAGTCCACAGTAAATGATAGGCTCTTTGCTGCTTTGAAAGCACGCAATACAAACAGGATACGACATAAAGATATAGAGACAGAGACATATTTATAGAGACAGACAGACAGTGAGACAGTGAGAGAGAAAGATTAATTGGCTGATTTGTGGCCTTGGTCTCCACTCTCCTAGTCTTCAGGACAATACATATCCTACCTCGGACCTTCCTGCCTCAAGGGTTGGTGTGGCATAGCTCCAGACTGGAATGCAGGCAGAATCAATCTAACAATTAATAATTGCTTGGGTAATCTGATTTGGGGTCACCTTTTATAAGGGCTTCTGGGAGATGGCAATATTTCACTCATTTGACATTCAACAAATACTTACTAAGCACCTGCCACGTATTAGATAATCGTGTAAATTCAGGACACAAGAACTTTTATGTAGTGTGCCTGTTTAAATTTTGGCTGCTACAGTGCTATTTAGAATCTCAGAAAGCTTCATAATTTTGTTTTGGGAAGGATCTCTCTCTGTTTATTGTATGTAGATTTGTATGGGAGGAAGATACAGAGTTGTGCCTCTTACTATAGAGCTGAGTGGAACTAGGAGGTCTGGAGCAGGAATGCACTCTCTGGAGCCAGTTACAAGCTCCATACAGACTTGAGTGATTAAATCAAACACAGAAGTGGTCTTGGGGCTCAGTCATTGCAGCATTGCTATGGTGATGACACAGATGTTCCTAATCTGAAGCTACTGCTCATTTTCCTTTCTCAAACCTCTAAACTCTTTTCTGTCCAGAGCCTACCACTCTCACCTGTCAGTTCTGTGAATCTATCAATCTCACCTCCATATGATTCTAATACATTTCCTTATGTTTAAGTTAGGCAGAATTTGTTTCAGCCAAGGGCCCTTACTGATGTATCCCAGCCCAGACTAATAATGACTCCAGCATCTCCCAAACTGTAAGGACCAGGCATTCTTCAGATTGACTCAAATAGTTGACTATCGCCTGGCTTGCATTTATGCCCAAGCACATCTACTCACACCACACTTGTGTGGTGGAGCTCAGAATTTTGTATGATGTTGGTGTTGGCATCACACGGACTTGGGGTCTTTTAGGCAAGAAGACCAAGATGGACTCCATGTCACAAACAGAAAGGGAAGGAGAGAAGAGAATGGGCCTCACAGACCAGTGTCAAAGGAAAGAGCAGCAACACCTTGCTCAGCCCCAGGATGAGAAAGGCAGTGGAAGTGAACACAGACATCCTAATATTTTTGAGATGAGTAAGAGAGAAAAAGGGAAAATGAAATTCACACAAGTCTTGAAAAGATTGTGTGGGGATGTGACCAGAATTCTATGAGCACTCAGTGACATGCCTAAAGCCTTACCCTTGGGGAACCCAAGGAGTCTAATCGAGCGTTTTGGGAACATTCATTACAGAACTCCTGGCTTCTTTAATCCGCTCACACAGAGGTACTGAAAAGGCTTCTTGTTCTAGGCCAGATCCGGTAGAGATTGCAGGACAAGAGTGCTGCATGCCCTTGTGGTGTGTGTGTGTGTGTGTGTGTGTGTGTGTGTGTGTGTGTGTGTGTAAAACGGAGGCAGAAACAGAGAAAAGACTAAGTTGCAAATTCTTCAAGACTTCCTTTTATGAAAGAAAACCCTTACTGAAGCTTTTTATTCTCATCATCCCTTTAATTTTGGCCCTGGCTCTCCCTGGTTCTCCAGACCCTGTGTAGCTGGGGATGGTGGCACACACCAGTAATCCCAGCACTCTGGGAAGCTCAGGTAGGAGAATTACAAATTCAAGCTTGATTGCAATTTAGCAAGAGAGAGACCCTGTTTTTCTCTATTTGTTTTCTTGAGAAACTACTTTGAAGATATCAATAAGTAAGACAACCATTGTTAATTTCCTACAACTTTGTCTGTTACTCTGTTTTGTTTGTATTGTTCTTATGCTTTTTGGTAAATGGATGGCTGTTTGTGGGGGCACATATATGGGGGCACATATATCGCTGTGATATGACATTTTCAGATCTTCTGGGAAAATACCCAGAAGGGGAATGGCTGGGTTGAATGGGACCTCTGGACCTAAGGGAGACCCTGTCTCCAAAAATAAATAAAATAAAATTAAAATAAAAAGAACTAGGGATATAGCTCAGTGTGAAAGCCCTGAGTTCAACCCTCAGCACCAAATAAGCAAGCTGCGACAACAACAATCTACTGAGCTCTTCCTTTTTTATTTTAAGAAATAAAAGAAGGAAAACGTATTAAAAAACAGACATCCATTTACAAAATAGCATAAGAAAAATACAAACAAAACAGAGTAACAGACAAAGTTGTAGGAAATTAATAATGGTTGTTATCTTACTTATTGATATCTTCAAAGTGGTTTCTCAGGAAAATAAATAGAGATATACAAGATTGATCAAACAAGTAATCATTAACTGTTCCTTTCTGTAGAGCAATAGAAGACAGTAGTACAACTATGTTAGCTATTCTGTATATACATACTTACATAATTTCCCCTTCTTTCCCTTCTCTTTTCCCACACCCCAGTTGCCCTTTACTTTTGGGCATTTTCCTTTCATTTCACAGTGTCTATCATACCACCTAGTTTTTATTCACTCTTTCAGAAATTACACTAGTGAGACAATACAATTCTTACACATGCAGGTCTGATTTATTTCACTTATGAGTATGGTCTCTAGTTGTGACCATTTACCTATAAATCTTCAAGTTTGTCTTTCTTTATAGCTGAGTAATAGTCCATTATATAAAAGTACCACAATTATTTTATCCAATCTTCAGTGGATGGACGTTTGGGTTGCTTCCACAGTTTAACAATTAAAATTGTGCTGCTATGAACATGGGGGCACATATATCACTGTGATATGACATTTTCAGATCTTCTGGGAAAATACCCAGAAGGGGAATAGCTGGATTGAATGGGACCTCTGGACCTAGTTTGATGAGGAATCTCCAAACTGATTTCCACAGTGGTTTCACCAGTCTGCATTCTCACCAGCAGTGGAGAAGAGTTCCTATTTCTCCACAGCCTCATAAGCATTTGTTATTGGTTGATTTCTTAATGCCAGCCATTCTTACTGGGGTGAGATGAAATCTCAGTGTTGTTTTAATTTTCCCCTCGCAAACCCTGGTGTTAGCAGGAGTGTGGATCCCTTGAGACAGTCTCCTGTGTCTGGGCTCTTCTTTAGCTCTGCTTTTGGCTCTTGTCTCCAGATTTTTTCTATATCCTTTTTGGGGACTTAGACATAATCAATCTGTGCTAATTTTTCCCCTGCAAACTAATTATCCTACTATTTCATTCAGTGAGAAAGCTATTTTGAAAATCTTATTTTCCTACCCAGAATTGCATAGCCAGTTTGGGAGCTTCAAATATGTATGATCCCAGGAAAATTTGGGGATTAGAAAAAAACTCAGACATGTAAAATTTTCAAAACCCTAAAGAAAGTTTCCAAAGTGAATATATTTTCATTGTAGATATTTTTATCTCTCCAGTACAGTTTCACAGGAGCTCTCTTTACTATTCTTTACAAAGTGCTTTTTTTTTTTTTTTTTTGCAGTAACTGATTTTCAGGTTCAGTCTTTTTTCAAAAATGCTTTTCTGTTGATTTTAAGCCACTTCAACTGCATAAGTTATACAAGCGTGAAAAGTTTTTTTTACTCTAAAAAAAGATGCTCCAGTATATTTTTTGTACACCTATTATAGGCGAAGGATAAAAACAGAAGCTGGGCATTGATGCAGACTTGGAAGATATAGAAAGAACTAAGAAAACTTATCCCTAATTGATTTCATAATCAAAGCTAGGAATGACAAAACAAAGCTCCAATTTAGGGAG